CTTGACTTGTTTTGTTGTTTTGATTTGCAGTTGCAATATGTGTTAGGCTTGGGTGTCACTCTTGAAACAAGGACTAACATTGTACTTTTTGGAAAAAAAAATCTTGATTTAAATAGTTTTGGAAGTTAGATTATTAGAGGACTTAATGTGCACTTTCACTTAAGCCACTCCTGCGCCTTCAACTTTTATGCAGATAAGTATAAAGGCATTCCCCTTCCAGAGCTGGGTGCGTGCCCAGTATGCAGGAGTTTATCTGGCACATGTGTCCCTCCCTCCGTATTTCACTTCTGCTTCTACTTCTCTCCTTCTGATAGCTTTATCACTGCGGAGGGGTCAGATGCTGACACCAGCATAAGGGCCGCTTAAATCGCTCTAAACAACATCTATCATGGACCCTATAAAATAAGCTTCATGGCACACAATACCCTGGCCTTGCGCTTGGAAATGCTCGTCTATCATATGGCTACTTGACTCCAGAAAGCTATTTTTTTGATGATATGTTGAAGATTCAGGAAAGGAAGGCTCTGATTTATCCCTAATCAGTCTTTATGAGTAATTTTAGATAGCAACTGTATGGGAGATCTATCACTCGTCAGGAGTGAAGATTTGGAGGTGATAAATGGCACTAGCCTACAGTTCTGTTTATTGATCAGCAAGAAGCTTGATATCAGGAAAACCTGATAGCTAAAAAAAATATCATAGAAAGAAAGTATCATTTTTCCCCCTTTTTTATATTTCAAAGGCATAGCATAGTGAAGAATTAGGTGCTTAAAGGGAGGGAAGTAGGATGCTAATTGACTTTGATTATTGGCTTAATATTATGACATGCAGACATGTTGCTGATACGGCTTAGAAAAACAGAAACAAATGATATTCAGGTGCTTGAAAACAGAGAGTATGCTGTTGTGGCCACTATATCAGAACAGTCCTGCAGGCTGTTCAGTAACCACTTGATTAATAGCTGAATGCTAACAGATTGCAGCAAATTGTTAGTTCACTAAGGTCAGAAAAAAAGGAAAAGAAAGATAAACTGCTGGCTGTAATCTGACACAAGTTGCTGGTTTTTCACAGCCTCGGTGTATTAAACGAATGCTGTTATCTATGAAAGTTTATTAAGGTCTTTACATTCTAGTGGCAGTTTTGTTCAAGCTTTCTAGATGAGCCTTTTAGTTTAAAGGTTAAACATTGCTATTAGCAGGGTGCTTGGCAGAGATATATCATTCAAATTAAGAGTGAAAATGAGCAAAATTTGATTGATAGGCATATTCATATATTCAGACTACAATTTATGGTAAATGTTATCATCCTCTTAGATTCAGACATAAAATTCTTGTAATTTATAAGCTCATTTAATTAAATTGTCTTTGATGTTAGATAATGTCGTATTAATATTGCTACTAATGTTTTATCCTTGTACAATACAAAATTGTTCTTACTGACAAGCCCGTTTAATTTGTGTCTGCTCTTAACTAATGATATGTCCGTGTACACTGCATAGATATAAATATTTGGTGAAGACTTCCTACACCTCATTTATAGATAGTGTGCTCCTGCTCTTTTTGTAGTTTGTGTGGCTCCTCGCTGCTAAATAGCAGTATGCATAGAAATGGATATCTTGATTCTTCATTGTCTTTTTCACCCATTATTGTGCTTGAGTAAATAGGTAGCTCCAGAAAAAAGTAAGAAATCCATGAAATTCATCTACAAGATAAATATTTTAATTACCACGTTTTAAAATTAACAGCTCAGAAAGCTCAGGCTCCTGACTGTGGTTATAGACATAAGAACAAGGATCCCTGAATGCAAATCTTAAGTAGAAGAGCAAAATGTGTCCGGAAGAGCCAAAAAAAGAGAACAATCAATGACCCAGAAAAGAGGAATTATTGTCGAAGCCCATCACTTAATTTCTTTAAAAGCCTTTTGAGAAGTCAGAAGCGCTCAATGTGCATCCACTAAAGTTAACACTCTGGGTATGCCATACAATTTAATTATTAGGACATGATTCATTCGGTGAGTGGTCACCCATTCAGTGAGACCATTTATGGGCCCAGCGTATTCTTTACAGCTCAAAAATCCTCCTTTTGGTCAGTAATCACTGAACTGTACAAATGTAATTTAGATACTTGATTGAGAAAGAGATTTTGCTAATTAAGAGTTTTTGTAGAGGGTATAATCATTTTGACTGGTTATTCATCAGGAACAATGTGATAATTAGCCCTCATGCAGTCTAAGTAAGAACAGTAAAGTCTCTTAGAGGATGCTTTAGCATATACAATAACTAATCGCCATTTGTAAGCTGAGTGAGTGTGTGTTCATGATTTTTTTTAAACTGCATATTTAAACTATATAATGCACACAGTGTTTTATTCATCACATGAAACTTGCTGAGACATAGACGGATTGTGCTTTGCCCATTTGTATGTCTTAAACTTGTTTAATTCTAAATGATTGTGAGAATAACACTGTATAATGTTTTTGTTTATTCAGGCTCTATTTATGAACTGGGGCTCTTTTATAGATCTGGCTTTCCATCTTTTTAAAGTTGGATTTTTGTTAAATAGGTAATGTACTTTACACAGACCACCATGTGCTTTTTGTCATCGATTTGTTTAATTCATGTACTTAAAGTGTGTGCTTTCAGTTTCTGTGATATTGGTATTGACTAACATGTTTCTGGTCCTTAAACATCCACAGTCCATAAGTAATGTCTGGTTAGTGTAGGAATGGGATTGTTAGTATCTTTAAGTACTCTTTTGTTATTCACTTTTAAGTAGGAAAAAAGGATCAGGATTTTTTTATACTATATTTATGATATGTTATATTTAATTTTACTTCAGGAAAAAAGTTTTAGTATTTCTATTCCCAGTGCCAGCATTAATATAGAGAAGAGATGGATGCAAGTTAAGGAAGTACACCCCCTGAAAGACCTACCGTTATCTCTTCACATTTAATTTTTGAACACACCTACTCCAAAACAATTGGCTCTTACAATAAACTCATTTTGTCACAGGTAGTTAATTATGCATGCTACAAGTCATTTATAGCTTTTAAAAAGTACTTAGGAATAGATGGCTTAGTCATTAGATTTGCAAGACAATGTTTTTTTTGTATGATTTCTGATATATTAGTTTATACAAGTATAATATATATACTTGATATACAAGTTTTCCTTGAGAATGAAACAATATAGACGTGTACTTGCAAAGTGCAATTACAAACGTGCCGCCACAAAGTGATGCCTCTTTCCTTTTTGTTGCGTTGAGCTAGAGTTAAGAGTTATACACAGACCCCGATGGGGATTCGCATCATGTATGCCTTGTGAATGTAATGCTGTAGAGACCCAACGTTAAAGCACCATCGTGGACGTCTCACTTCCTGCACCACACAGAGCTTTCTTGCCATTCTTATCTACAGTAGGTCTTCACTGACACTACCACACAATAGTAGTTGCGCACCCACATACAAGCATCAAACTTTCTAATTTAGTAGGAAATGTTGTCCACACCAGTTCATATAGAGCAGGGGTTCTCAAAGTTAAGACAACTGGTGAACTGTCAAAAGCAAACTTTGTTTGTTAATGTTAAAAAGGTTTAGTCTGCTAAAGAGAGATAAAACTAAAGAAAATGCTCCTTTAATCTCATGCTGTGCTGCTTTATACATACAGTACCATGCAAAAGTCTTATGCTACCCCTCATTTCTTTATATTTGTAAGGAAAATGGGAAATAAGTACAGAGGTTTGTTGAAAGATCTGTAAACAAATAAATAAAAGACAAAGACATTGACATTCAAAGCTATTTTTGGTTGTTGGGTGCCTTTTGTTCAGTTCTCTGTCAAAATGGTATTGTGTATACTTTTGGTGCAATCTTGAGTGTGATACACATTCATGGTTTTATGAATGTGTAAACATGTTTAAACCAAAAGAGCAGGATGTTCATTGAATGCCACAGCAGTTTTCACACTTTTTGTGTTCTATGTGATCACCAGGAGATTTACCCTTTAAATATCTGCAAGGCAGATTAATGAGGCACCCTGACTCCCTCTTATATGGCCTTCTATAAGTAAATATTTTAAGAATCAACACTGATGTTCACAATAGGACTCTACAGTGGTGTAACTGGAACAATATTTTCTTTTAGTTTGCTCAGTTTACGCTTTGACTTCACATGAAGCCACTGCTTTCTTTAGGCTCAATACAAACTGTCTGGTAAAAGGACGTTATATACTGTACATTTTTGAGTCAAGGAAGATCTGTCATAAACTATGAGGACTTTTTTGGTGATCATTTCTATATATCAGCTAAAATGAATGCATACCACAAAAAAAGCTCTCTTTCTCTGTTTGGATCAGCTGGCTGTTGAATTTGTGGTCTCAGTCTTTAATTTATGTACTAGATCTTAAGTAACACACATCCCTATAGCCTAGTCTGAATATTTACCCAATCAAAGGTTTATTGAATTCAGATAAACCAATACAAAAACTATTCAGGTTTTTGCAGTATGTCATTTTTTGTACCATTCTAAGTGCTAAAATTTGTTTATCAAAAATACAATATAAATGTTTATCGCCCATTTATGTTCATCAAATTTGTAAAATGGCATAAAGCTTTCCACCACTTGTCTCCAGTCCCAGTTTTCTTAATCTGATTCCAAGAATTATATGAAGAGGATGTGAAGGTCGCAGAGGAAGAGAAAATCTCAGGAGTTATATAGGAATAAAAATACATAAAGATCATTAGATTTTTATTATTGTTGGCGATTTCTTTGTTGTATTGCAGTGGGGTAATTTCCTGCTGTGTTATTTCTTTCTTAGTGCTCTGCGTTTTAAAACACATGCTTACCTGTGAATATGAGGGGCTCTCTGTTAACTTGCACTTCAGAATGAAAATCAACCAGATTCACTAGTTGGGAAATCGTAGAATGAGAGAGGGAGGGCAAAGACCAGCGTAAAGCAGAGTCTGTCTTGGCACCAGAGCTCTGATTCTATTTACGGCTTTTAACAGAAATCTGATTAACGGAGGCATTTTAAGCAGAGTGACCTGGAGGAGGAGTGAGGAATGGGGGAAGAGGAACAGACGCTTTCATTAAATCAGCAATCGATGCCAGCACTCCTCAGAGACCAGCGTACAGGAATAAAGGAATAAAATAAAATGAAATAAAGGAGCCATTTCTTATGTTTATCTAAACTGTTGGGGTTTGAAGTACACTGTGGATTCAACATTGCTTTACAGCGAGGGAGATTTTCTGTCTCTTACCCTCACACTTGTATGCCTACATTATGTCTGGTATATTGTTTTGTTCCACAGAAGCAGTAAGACTGTACAATCTTTTTACGATATAAACATGAATCCTTTAAATAATGAATAAAACTGATTTTCTGGATTGTCAAACAGCCAGCTAACTGCAAAAAGACATAGTAATATAGCTTAGTGATCACAACAAGCATTTGAGTGGAAATTATGAAACACTTAAGATTACTCTCTGAAACAGACCTGAGGCGATGGCTTGAGGGGGTGCTGAGAAAGCGGTCTCTCCCCAGCAGACAGAGCCATTCAACCTTGCATTACTATAATCCATTAGACATGGCTATTGCAACGAATGGCTTGCTTACCACCCATAGTTTCTTATCGTGACTGATCTATCAGCTTACAGAATAAGATAAAAAAACAAAAAACTAAAATAGTCATACTTTTAAGGCACTGTTTTTATCGATTTGGACCGGGCCTTCTGGTGTAATGGACAGATTCACTAGAGTATCATGAAATCATGAAGTTTCATGGTGTAATTCACCTGCTTCAGCACTTTAGTGCAGTGGAGCGGAGGAGAAAGAGTGGTAATGATAACAATGCTTATTAAACAATACATGTGAGGGTCCAAAATTACCAAACCTCTGAGGCTGCAGCTCTGAGGAGTCTGTGTAATGCATCATAATGAGACAATTTTATCTGTTTCAAAATGTCCCATTATGCTAGTTCTTAACTTTTCCCTGAATTCTCCTTTCAGTGCGATATAGCAGTAATAGTAAAGAAGGGAGGCAATTACTTGCACACACCACGATCATTCAGTTACTTTAACATATCATGCATAATTACTGGTATTTTAAAACCACTTTAGTAAAGGATCCACACACTGCAGAATACAGCGGGGCAAAGTAGCTTTATCCGTGTGACTAACACTACTGTAACACAGACAGATAGCCCCCTGGAGAGTGTAAGTCTGGTGAACATAATCTGTCTCCCACTTTGTGTGTGTGTGTGTGCGTGTGTGTGTGTAGACCTGCTGCAGGGTAGCAGTGTCAGTAATACACAGTAGCAGCAGGAATCACTCTTTCAATTGTGACAACTATTTAGCTCTTGCCTGCTCACGTGACAAATTGAGCATGGAAATCACCTATTGGGAAGGGAAGATGTGGAGATGGACATGTAGTGGCAGGGGAACCACCGCTGGTTAACGCTGACCCAAATCTGAAATGTTTTTAGGCTGTAGCTTTTATTTATGTATAGTTTTTGATGGTCTGTTTTGATCTTGACTAAAACCCAGGGACTTTCCTAGAAAAGCAACAGGGATTTGGATAACGATGTGGTCGTCTGGTCAGGCTTTCAATGGGAATACTGTTCACAAAAAGCAACAACAAGGCACGGCTTTTAAAGTTCGTGCCGTTCAACATGATCCAAAGTGCGATGAAAGTCAAACGGCACCCCTCAAAGCGGTGCCCAACTCTCTATATTAATTTGTCCTCTTTGACAGCTGGAGAAGTAATATTTGGCTACTTCATCCATACAGCTTGTCTTGATTCATGCATTTGATTTGCTTTGTGTGGGCTGATAGTGCTGCCATGAATAAGGGGTTGAATGGAGAGGAGGCAGGGGGAAGAGTGACAAGTCAAGTGGCTGCCACACTGATAAATAGCCTTGGTTTGTTTTAGTTTTTTTTCTTAGCTTCATCTGTTTAAGAGAGGCTCAGAGCGCTCCTGTTAGCTTAAGAGTCCCAGGGAGATTCTTATCCCTGGGAAGGTGGTATTGGTACACAGCTCTCCTCTTTGGGTAAGTAACTCTCCTTTAGCCACATGCCTAATGATGCTAGCCAGCATCTGGCACAGGTGGCCCGAGTGATTCTTTATATTGAAAGAAGAACTGACAGCAGGACGCTGCTAATTCTCTTTCCTTTCCCATAGATCCAATTTTAGGTTATTTCTCGTCCTTCTTTTACTTTACTCTTTTTTTTTTTTTTTTTTTTTTTGCCCAGGTACTTATTATTGCTGGCTTACAAAATCATGTTGTTCAGTATTAGATCACAAATACCCAACCAGAATCAGTTTCTCTTCTGCTGCTATATTGTAAAGTTTAATCCCTTCTTGATTTTGATTCAGCAGTGAAAGAGAAGTTACACTGACTGAACCAGAGGTGCACCACAAGTATAAATATTATTTGATTATGAAAGGACTTTTATTGCTGGTAATGTTTAGCTTCTTAGGATGTGTGTAGAAGATATGTTTGTCAATTCAGAAATATTTCTCCTTTTCCTCTCACTTTCAGTCCCCTGATTGCTGTCCCTGTTTCCTGTAAGCAACAGTCTAGTTTGCAAGATTTGTAGAGTTCACACATAAAATATAGCATTTACACGTTCAGCTTGCTTCACTTCATAAGTATTTTTTCCTTTTGTTTCCTCAGAGGTGCAGCTCTGGGCTCTTCTGAGACCAGGGCAGCAAGCATTAGCACGACAGTTCAAAGCCATCGCTGGGGGCGGGTTCAGAAGAAAGCACATATAAAGATGTGATCCAGCCTGGGTGTCAGTAGCACACCTGTGCATGTGGTGTGAACCACAAATTACCCCATCTGATTGTTTCAGGGAAAAGAGAGGATCATCTTAGTTGTCTCTGATGGAACTGGGATGTTTATTTATGTCTAAAACAAAATTCACTGCACCCAAATGCCTGCTGATCTCCTACAGTGTTTATTAAAAAGTTGATTAATTTGGTCCCCTATCACCTGTCAGAGAAGAAGCGACAGGAGTCCTAAGAGAATTATTCTTGCTCACAGTTTACACCGTGAGCTGTGTGAGATAATTGTAATTGCATCTGTAAAATAGGTTTATAGGATACTCCCACAGCACCCAATACCCTATATTTTTAGGCAATTAGTATAAATATAATGTGCAACAGCAGCGGTAAGTGTTTTTTTTTTTAAAAAAAAGAGATTCAATGATGCTGCCATCTTATCTATTTATGCGATCACTAACCTAAATAATGTAGCCACTTATTATCCCTTCCCTCACTGTTGTCACTGTGGAACAGCTCATCATTCCTCAGTCAGATCTTGTGATAACAGTGCAGGTCCCATGTGTGCTTACCTGTAGGAAAATTGCGCTTGGTGATATTTTCGTCAAGCTCTTAATTTTGCTTCATGATTTTTGAATGTTATATAAAATGGTTAGTTAACTTTTGCTCTGTCAGCGATGTGCTGAAATACTTACATGTAGGAAATATATTTTTTGCTTATTTTTTGCTTTTTGGCAGGACATAAACTGTAAACACTGCAGTGGTAACTTCTCGGTCTCAAATTAAACCCTTATGTGCTGTTACAGATTTTACAGGCAATGTTCAATCAGTGAGAGTAGGGAAACACAGCATTGAGACAAAGTAAAAAAACAAAAAAGAATTCAAGCAGAGTTAGGTGAAAAGTAGAAGGTAATTACTATTTAAACCCCAAATGTTTGCAAAGAAAGCAGTGTGGTAACTATTATGTCATTCTTTTAGATTGCCTTGCTAAAATGACAAGCACACTTGTCAGCATGCAAGTTCAGTAGTCTATCCTTACGTGCTGAGGAAGAGGAAGAATGCCTGCAATGCACAGGAAAACCTACACGGGGAAGATGGAAATGACTGCAGGTCTGCCCCTACTTGTTGATTAGAACAGCAGTGCGGTAAACGTTTGTTATGGAAGCACTTTCCATTGTTATACAATGTTATAATATTTTACTTTATGCTTTTATTTTATGTTGTTTCCTATCTGGTACATACATGAGATTTTATACATTTTTGTATTTTTGAGGAATAAGATAAATATAATCACTAGCACTAAAAAAAAATTATACAGTGGTAATGAGTAAAATTTTCCTTGCTGTGTGAAGCGAATCCAGGATCCATATCAGTGAATTCCTACATAGCAGTTATAGCAGCAGCACCACCACTCACACAACACAAACCTGGACTCCAAAAACAGAAATGAACTTTGAACTGTGGTGAAAATGGACTAAGGTGACATTACCAGTAGTAGTAGCAGTGAATAATTTGGCTGCATATGTTTTATTTATTTACTTTTTTTGTTTGCTATAAAGCATTTTTTTCACCAAGTGCTCATTAGTTCCATGACTTTGGTTCCCGAGTCTAAACCTGGAGGATATAGGCCTGAAGATTTCTGTTCAATGAACATTCGCTGCAGTTGAGTACACAGTTTTGTATTCATGTTGGCATAATAAAGGACGGGTGTAAAATAAAAATGACGTCATTACTTACACTCAGAGATCATCACCTCACAGTGTACCTCAGATTTTTGTGTTGTACCTTAAAACTAACAACAATTACATTTTTGTGTTTGCAGCCTTTAAGGAACCGTTGAGCTCAGTTGCATTGTAGAGTTCAACAGAAATGGTAACTATAGTTGAACTATGTGTGCATGCAATCATAACTGTTACCAGTATTATTCTTTTTTGCCTATCCCTTAATTTCAGCTAGTCCATAAGCACTTTATAAATGAGTATTCTCGACCATCTTCTAAGCACTTAAAAAAACATTTTTAGTTCTTGCTGTCATTTATGACTGCAATTTCCCCCACCCCTGTCCAATTTATCCATATCTCTCAAACTGCTTAGTTTGATATGCGTAAAGAATGCAAATTAGCCACTTAGTAACCACATCAATTACCCACCTGGCCTCTTTTCAGCCCCACTGTGTTGTTTGCAAAACACTCGTTACGGTCCTGTAGTGATGAAGGCGGACAGTCGTTGGTGGAGTCCGCATTATA